ATATTTGGGCTAGATAGGCCCCTAGTTACTTGAGACAGGAAATCCTAGCAGACAGCCAAATTCACTGATATAAGAGAAGCCGTGCTGGATCAGACTAGTGAAACATATTGTCTACAATCCTGTTTCATACAATGGCCAATTACATGCTACCCGAGGTCTGACAAATAAGGAATTTCTGACTGGGAATCAAGGCAGATTACACAGTGAGTCAATACAATCAATACAATCAACAGGATGGGACATTCAATCAACAATGAAACAGGATTTGAAAGCCAAATCAAACTATTAACATGATGCAATTAAATGTCACAAAATTACATAGTAGGGTCCTACTGCCGTTGCCCCCAGAGCTGCAATTCAAAGGTACACTGCTTCTGAACCTGGAGGTTCCATTGTAGTCATTGCCTGATTTCCTTTTTGAAGCCATCACTGCATCCTGTGGCGATGAATTCCACAAATTAATTGGAATCTGAGTGAAGCAGTACTTCCTTTTGGCTGATCCTGTTCTAAAGCACGTTTCAAGCATTCCAGCCAGAGGGAAAGTTCAAAAGGCCACGCAGTTTGCATCTGCAGCTATAGACGTACCCTCACCACCCACCCCACCCCACCCACCATGATATTCTGGTGGGAACTCAGAACAAGAAGCGGGTGCTTGGAACCAAACCACGTTAATTGCTGCATGCTGCATGGCAGCATTCCAGTTTCTGCCACTGCAATTATCAGCAACACATGGGGAGTGTATGCCTGAAACCTAATGAAATGATGCGCCTGAATACTTGTCAGATCTCTCCCCCCCCCCGCCTCCTCCAAAAATCTTCCTTTGGCAAGCTTGCCCAACACGCCCCATACGGCTCCTTCCAACTAGGTCTTGCACAGTTTGCATTTAGAAAACAATCTTTCAAACACACAGCTGAATCCTGCGGTGGAAATGAACCTACAGCAGCCGAGAACTCACGACCCTACTCCTCCAGTTCAACAACGCCAACAGCCTACCTATAACTTTGGGAAGCCATGACTCGCCCCGACCTGGATAGCCCAGGTAGCCTAATCTTCTCAGATCTCGGAAGCTAAGCAGGGTCAGCCCTGACTAGTAGTTGGATGGGAGGCCTCCAAGGAATACCAGGGTTGTGACGCAGAGGCAGGCAATGGCAAGCCACCTCTGAACGTCTCTTGCCTCGAAAACCCTACAGGGTCGCCATAAGTCAGCTGTGACTTGACGGCATCTTCCACCACCACCACCACGATCTGACTAGGCCTGATTAGCCTAGTCTGATCTGAGCTGTTCAGGGCTGGGGAGCGAAGCAGGGTCAGCCACGGTCAGTATTTGGACGGGAGACCGCCAAGGAAGACAACAGCAGCCCACCCCTGCTCACCTCATGCCTGGAACACCCCAATAGTAGTGGGTGCCATCACTTGTGACTTGATGGCACCTTCTTCTTTAAGAGTTGACTGTGGAAAGGCCCATTCTCAATAAGACAAGGGAACTCCTGTGCCTTCCCCACTGCTGACGTCCCAAGGCTAACTCTTCCTCTGCCACTAATTTGCAAAGTATTACAGAGTATGAATACAAGGCATCATGCAGGCAGCGTCTATGAAGGCCTCAGGGGGATCTTTTTTACAGTGACACACAGTGCGATGCAGTGCCAGACTAGGATTTGGGAGGCCTTGGTTCAAATCCCTTATCTGACACCGAGTTCACTGGGTGACCTGGGGCCAGCCTAACCTACATCACAGGGTTGGTTTTCAGGATAAAACCGTATGTACAGCCGTTGTGAGAAGGGTGGGATAAAAACGGGCCGAGCAGATAGACGGTTGATGGGGGTGGGCAGTACTGTCTCATTCTAGGTTGGTTTTAGTTCTGTTTGAATGGATATATATGTACATTGCAGGCCCGTAGCTAGGGGGGCGCCGGAAGTGACGTGACAGGAGGAGGGGAGCGCCATACTCACCACGTTGGCGCCGTGGGGGTGTGGGGAATCCGCAACTCTCTCTCTCTTTTGTATTTTGCAATTTTATTATTTTGTGTTTTTTAAAAACCTATTTATTTTTGGGCCCGGAAAAAAGAAAACGAGACTGAAGCTTCCCTGACGGGGGTCATTTTGAAAACAACACATGCATCTTACATTTTTTTATAGTTTAAAAATATTTTCATCCTCAAGGGGGTGTCACTCATCCATAGGGATGTCAGTAACATAGAAGCAACCCTAGTGGTGCATAGTCATAGAAGCAACCCTAGTGGTGCATATTAAAATTTAGGAGACCTAGCCCATAAAGAAGTTGAATAGCATCATCCTGTTATAAGAAACTGGTATGAGACTTCCTATGTTTTTCTGTGTTCCTGAGGAAGAACCAGGAGTCTGAAACACTATCTACTACCTAGGAAAAGTGTTGGAAATCTTCTCTGGACTTGACTGTTTCCCTTTATGGATTATGGATTTTTCATTCCCATATGTTACTGACATTGCTAATTATTTGCTTCTTTTCACTTTATTAAAAGTCTCTTTTTGTACATTTATACTTGCGGGTTATACTCACAGTTGGGTTTTTTTGTTGATCTTGTTCTTGGCTACATTAGACTGTGTGCTGTACTGTTTGTTACTCATCCATAGGGGGCATTGCCCCCAAATGCCCCCTGGCTATGGGCCTGGAACATTGTGACTGGAGTCTCCGACCAATGCTCCCTCTAAGCTGTGGAGGCTTGTGAGCAAAAATTCTACTTTGTGAGCTACTGGCATCAAAGTAGTGAGCAGGTGATTTGGCTACTGCATAAATTAGTTTGCTCTGGAGCCATCCTTCCTGAGCTAGGACAAAAATGGGTAAGCCAGCTAGCTCACACTAACTCAGCTTACAATGTCTCCAACTCAACTTAACACTGAATCCAACCTTTTTTGACCCTGCAGGCACCTTTGGAATCCTGATACAGTGTGGTGGGCACAACCACAAAATGGCTGTCACAAAATGACTGTCACAGGAGGCGGAACCAGCCACAAAATGGCTGCAGGAGCTTACCTTCAGTTACTCTCTGAAGATCCTTGTGGTGTAGTGGCAGCTAGTCCCAAAGCAATATTTTTAAGTATCTGCCCAAGTATCTCCAATGGCCAATCAGAAGCCTTGCTGAGCAAAAGGTGTCGGAAGCCCTACCCACTCTCCAAAAACACTTGGCAGGCACCAGGAAAGGTGTCGGTGGGCACCATGTTGAGGACCCCTGCATCATAAACTTCATTGAGAGCACTGTCACAAGTTGTATATCAAAATTAATAAGCGTTCAGAATCACATACTCAGAACACAGGAAATCATACCAACACTCCCTTTTTTAAAAAAATCGACAGTATGCCAAAGAGAGGGGTTCTTGCCTAGCCTTCTCCTTGGAGGGCTAGTTTTCTAGGTGCAAGGATTTGTTTTCTTTTTACACACAAGAGCTTTTCAGACATGCGGTTTCCAGTCTCTATTCTGACAGCGCACGGTCTTGCCAAACCATGTCACATTTCCCCCAAAAAATGTGTTAAACGGGGTCCTAGAAGCACAACAGTGGGAAGAGCTGAAAGCCCACAAAACGAGCCCCTCCCCTCCCCTCTCTTTTCTTCCCCTGTTCTTAGAGCTTCCCCTTGAACAATAAAATGTTGAGAACTTAAAATAAGACCCAGGTCTGAAAACACCTCCCTTCAGGACTTCTCTGTGGCCTCTGGAGATCGAGCAACAAAATAAGTATGTTCAGAATCTGAATCCTCTAAGGGGAATTGAACCTTTTGCTCTAATGTAGCTAGAGGAAACACAGTCCAATGATCAAACCATGGTATGATCCATTTAGACTGAAGCCCATAAGAACAGTGCAAGAGAGTCCACTGACTGGAGGGGACAAGGACATCGCTGCTCTGAGAAAAGGGATCCTTAGTGATGACGCAGCAATACCATTGAAAAGGGGCAATTAAATCATGACTGCATAAAGGTCCTGAATAACTTTGGGCTAACCAAGAATTCTAAGTAGGGAGGGAGTTTCCCCTTGGACAGAAGTCCCAAGGCAAGCAGGGAACACGTCCTCCTAGCATCAAAATGAGTATCGTTCTTATCTCTAGCACAGATCAGTTTGGCCATATATTTTCGACATGGATTTACCCAAGAATATATAAAAAAAGATCCTCCCTCCCCTCTCCACAGCACAAGACCATCCACGCATCCAGACCACAGTGCAGACTCCAGGCGAGTAAACAAAACCTACCTGGGCTGTTCACGCTCTGCAACGCAGCAGGCCTTGTTCAGAGAACCACCCACCCACTTCTTGTTTTCGTAACCTTGGCTAGAAATCTGTCTGTCAACCCAAAGCAGTTCTTCAGACACCCGAAGAAGCAAG